TAGCCCTCGCCCGAAGGCTCAGGCTCTGTCGTCGTCTGGCCCTCGCCCACCAAGAAAAAATGGTACAATATAGGCACCGCTCGGTACATTTCGGCAACCGCACCCAGAATATGTAATTATCCCCACCTGGGTACGGGTACGGTCATTGGACATTAGTTGGGCAGGGGCTCTTGGCATCCTTGCACGAGGACGCCGGCGTCATTGTGGCCTGTTCCGGCGCAAGCTACAGCAAGCAACCCCCAGTATGATCGGCAGCGTTGGCACAAAGTCGTTTTCATGTTTGTAAATACCAGCACACATGGCGTAAAAGCATTGCTGAGCACAACGTTGCTGTCCACAGAGGAACATTTGGCGTTCTTGGTGGCGAGGGTGGCGCTGACGATGCTTGCGACAAGGACGGTGATGAAGATGACGGCAGCGTGAAGGTCCAGCTCCGACGAGCGAGGGGGAGCGGGCAGAGAAACGTAGGAACGCAATAGCTGATCACCATGCAGCAACCAACGTCAGGTCGCAAATAACACACGCATGAAAGTGAGTGAGTGATTGAGTGAGTGAATGATTAAGTAAGTGAGTCATTGAGTGAGTGAGTCAGCCTCGTGTCAACACACATGGGGCCAACCAGTGCACAAGGTCAGCAAGCCAAGGGCCACCCATTGAGGAAAAAGACCCTTCTGACCAAGGTGGCTTTGCAGGACTTATCAGTCATGCGGTTGGAAGCCTCATGGAGCAAGGAAACTTTGTCAGCTTAAACGCAACCCCAAGGTTTTCACCCCAACCATATTTCCTATGCGACGCGTAAAAGCCCTCCAGAGAGAGAGACGTGTCCGGTAACGACCGTGAGTCACGGTCACAGGTGTCAACTACCTTGCGCATGTATGGTTCACGATCATCACAGACAACCACGGATACAAAATAACACCAGCACAAAGCACCAATGGATGGGAACCATACAAATTGTGCTCAACGCACTTCACCTGCAAGGATGTACAAATAAAATACATTTCGCCAGCATACCACCTGGCAGAAGCAGGGATTCGCAGTACCCTTAGGAAGCTCTTCCCTCATAGCATTGAGGGGTTGCTTCCAAAAAGCGCATCATCACGGACGGCAGCGGCAATGCGTACGGTAGAGGGTCCTTAGTCTCGAGTAGGCAGCGCGTCGGTTTGACCCGTCAGCCTTCTTTTCTTGAGAGAGGATTGCGGTCCACATATTTGTCTTGGAAGCAATACAAAGCTGATGTATTCGATCTTGTTGCTTCGCCTGCTTGCTTCACGGTAGACCTTGCGTGAGCATGGGCTATCCGTCAAATATCGTCAAATGTAATTCTCCCACCTCAACATGCTGCCCACGAATGGTTTGTAGCTGGGCCTTACCGTCCTGTGCAAGCAGTTTTTTCGTGTGGTCAGACGATTGGATTTGATGACACAGTTGTTCAAACTTACTGACCCGAACATCGGCAAGATCCAACTGGGATAAATTGGTTCTCAGCAAATGTTTTCAACTCCCCCACGTTGGAATCCAGCGCTTGGAAATCAACAGGCTGCCGAGTCATTGAGGAGGAAGGTATCTCGATCTTGTTTGGGAAAAGGGCTGCAATACCTTCCATGATCACACCCAAGAGCTCCGTATTTTGCATGGGCTAATACCCGTTTGTCCGCTCGCCACTGAGAAGTGGAAAGTTTCAGTGAATCCGACACTCAAGACTCAAGCTCTTTTAGATCGGTCTATTCGTGCCCACGGATTACCCAAAACATGCTTTACCCTGTTCGGAGGGGACCCCGGAGGAGTCATCGACATTGCACAAGCGGCTGAGCATTTTGATGCAGAGCTGGAATGTCCTCATGAAAGGAGGGGCCAGATGCATTACTCGAACAATCCTGCTATGTCCGCCGCCAATTTCCCAAGTGCCTTCATGAGATGCACCGTTGTGGCTCCACCATTTGATAATTGTTTCGGCGTTCCTCCTCGGAGGTTCAAACCCCGTTGCATTCATTTGTTTGGAACACGGCTGGCAACCACGTTCCCAGGGATAGTTCCTGCCTGCAATCATTGCGGGGCGTCTGGAAATCATTTCAAATCCTGCAATCATTATAGGTACCCACCCACCCACCCACCCACCCTGCAATCGTGTTTGCGGTACGGTAAGGGTGATTTGTTACGGGTAAAGCATGGGCAAACTACTACGTTTTTCGCATCCACAAAGGAGGTGTAAACAAATGCTTGAATTTGAAGACGCGGTTATCGGGCTATCGGGCAACAGCCCAGAAACACGAGTTTTCACAGTCGAGTCTAAAATATATTGAGCTGAATTCTCCCTCAATAGGGGACGCGGCCAACGCTTGGGGGTGATAGCATACACCCAACAACTTTACGGCAGTTTACTTGATGCTGCGCTGTCCTACCATTAAAACATACTGGGTTCATAGGGCTTGGAAAGGTTCAGGGTTAATCGGGTTTCGGGCCGAGGTTGACGATAGCCAGTTGCAGGCCTATATGATTTTTATGAAAAGCCCAAAAAAAGGTTCGCTATTGTCGTACGGCGTTCTCTCAATCCAGGGCAACTCGTCATGAAAATATGTTTCGATGCGACTGTGGGGATCGATATGACACTCCGGTATACTCCGGTGACGCATAAAATATATTTTTGAATCATGTGCAAACACAAGTCTGGGATACGGGCCCCAAGGCACCCAGGAACTCAGTTTTCATATTGCCGACAAGCACTGCAGCAAACGTCCGGAAAAAGTCGACCTTTTTCCGAATTGACAGCTGGCAAGCGCGAGTAAATTCGATGGAGTCTGGTTGCATCCCTGGCATTGGGCGACGCAGCACCTGTTGGGCCTGCACTATCCTGCGCTTGCGGTTGGCCGACGTTGTATCTGCAGAGCTCGACGGAGAAAAAAAAAATCAAGCGAAAGTCGAGTACTGAAACGATCCCGGGTCATGGTCAGCAATGTGAAACATTCAACATCGTGGCCCTGCGCAAGCCAGCTGGCGGAGTCAGAGCCCTCGTTGTCGGGGACGTGCTGCGGCGCCTGGTTGGACGGGTCCTGGCTCAGACTTTCTCCGCCCAACTCCAGCAAGCTTGTCAACCCTTCCAGTTTGGGCTCAGCACGAGAGCTGGGACTGAGGCGCTCGCCCGTGTCCTACGCGTTGCAACCGAGGTCGACCCGCGTGCCACGGTGCTGTCGGTCGATGCAGCTGGGGCATTCGACCACGTGTCCCGGGCTGCGATGCTGGCGGCGTTGCATGCGCAACCAACGCTACAGCCTCTCCTCCCGTATGCCCGGCTAGCCGCTACGTGTGGGCGGACGACCAAGGATGCAGCCACGAGGTCTGCCAAGCTGAGGGCGGCGAGCAGGGGGACCCCCTCATGCCCGGGCTGTACTCCCTGGCCGCGCACGGTGCTCTGCAAGCTGTCCAATCACAGCTCCGGGATGGCGAAGCTGTTTTTGCCTTCCTGGACGACATCTACGTCGTTGCTGCACCTGAGCGGGTCCTCCAGCTGTATGAGCACGTCGAGGTCGCCCTGTGGGAGCATGCACGCGTCCGCCTCAACCGCTCCAAAACCAAGGCCTGGAATGCCGCTGGCGAGGAACCGCAGGGCATCCGGGACCTCCAGCCCGAGGGCGGTGATCCGGTATGGGTTGGGGATTGGGC